AATAGAAAAATGTCAGATTGATTTGTTGTTTCCTGATATCTCTAATATTTCCTTAACTACCATCCTATACTTCATCAGACAGCTCAGGCCACAGACGCCCTTCTGTTTGACTAAAGATTGTTCTTTTTGGGCGACGGTGGCACAGGAGTTAAAGTGCTCGCTCCCGTCATCAGATGGTTGCAGGTTCGAGCCCCGCTCACTCTGTCGACGTCATTGTGTCCTTGGGCAAGACACGTAACCCACCTTGCCTGCTGGTGGTGGTCAGAGGGACCGGTGGCGCCTGTGCTCGGCAGACTCGCCTCTGTCAGTGCGCCCCTGGACAGCTGTGGCTACAATCACCACCAGGGTGTGAATGTGTGTGTGAACGGATGAATGATTGATTGTGTTGTAAAGCACCTTGGGGAGTTCCAGGACTCTAGAAGGTACTTTATTAAATACAGGCCATTTACCATTTTTGGGCTTCTGCAGTTTCAGCGTTTGAAGCCTCCAGATCTGTGACCGTACGCTCTAGGTTCGTCCTGATGGTGTGTGCAGACTTTTTTCATTTAATTTCCACACCGATTGTACAAACCCTGTTTTTATTTTTATCTTTTTCAGGAGCTTTACAGTTCTCTTATCAACTAATCCACACTCACCTGACTTCCATCATTCCGTGAGCGATGTGTCGCTGCTCTACGCGTAGAAGAGAAAGCACCTCTGCAGCCCAAAACGTTCCCCATATTTGATTTTATGCTCCGTTGTGCATGTTGGCTCTCTGGCTGCGGTTTAGAAGCTGCACCGCCTTCCTTCCAAGTCTCCTTCCTCCTCCTGTGCTGCTGGCACACAGCCAAGTTCAGCTGAAATAAATCACCAGAAAGTGTAATAATTATCATTAAGAAACAGAGTTGTTGCTACTGCTCTTTCTGCTAGTGTGTGTGTGTGTGTGTGTGTGTGTGTGTGTGTGTGTGTGTGTGTGTGTGTGTGTGTGTGTGTGTGTGTGTGTGTGTGTGTGTGTGTGTGTGTGTGTGTGTGTGTGTGTGTGTGTGTGTGTGTGTGCTGTTTCAGTGTGTTCCCAGTGTCTGCTGACAGAGGATTAATCTCCACAGCTGAGGCAGTAGCTAAGGTCAGCAAGGGAAATATTTCATAAGTGTTAGCTCGGCCCGCAGCCCTCGGTGCACAGTTTGGAACACGGAGACATAGTCGCACAACACAGGCTGTGTGTGACTTTACTCGGCTCACATGGGGCACTTTGGAGGAGGAAAGTGGGGTGATATATGGTGCTGTTTCACATTCATGAATTCATCTTTGCCTGTGAGTTACTGCCAAGAACAAGCGTGGTGCTTTGTCTCCACAAGGACCCAGTTGAGGAAATATATTGGCCTCTGCAGGTCTGTCCCTGGAATACCTTTATCCTTTAATGTCTGCTTTCCAACTTTTGCTTTCTTCCTAAACAAAATTCCCCAAAAGTCAAGCCTTGGTCCACGTTTAAGCCAACTAAGGCAAGCAGAATCGTTTGAAACGGCCCCTGCTGGCGTTGTGTTTAGAAGAATGTACTTCCAGGGTAAACTCACAGTTACATTTGGGCCTGCTCCGGCTGTGACCCGGGGTTGGCACGCACATGAAAGCAGATTATTGACATGGGCGGGCCGCTTCAACAGCCGTTTGTTTCATGTGGCACGTCTCCGAGGAGTTGATTTACTACTCATTCAGGCGCTTTAACTGAGCAATGCCACTCCTTGTCAAATCAAAGCCGTGGATGATTACATGACTCGCCTTCTCTGCGGCTTCTGATGATTGACATTTACTGCCGAATCCCGCCCATCTCGCCTCTCATCATCATCATCATCATCCTCCCCACTTGTGTTCAGCAGGAAGCTGAGCTGGGTCTGCCAGGTCACTCGTTCCAACGGTGTGCCATCAGTTGGGTCAGTGCAGCTGCGTTACAAATAGACTACTTCCTATTGTGTTTCTTCCTGATCACAACATGTGTGGATTTGTTATTGATCTCTGGAATGTTTAGAAAATGATTGGCTGGATGTGGTTGTTCCATTTAACCAAACCTGTTACAGGTCCAGCTTGTGAATACCTTTATTGTTCCACCGTTGAAAACAACCTCAGCTGACGTTTGACCAGTGGGTAAAAACTAAGAAGCATCTCGTGATGCCATCTGAAATTTCACGCAGTTCTGGATGATCTGGTTTGAATCCGACACAGTCTGGCAGTGCAGGCCTCCCCCCTCCTTCTCCTCTTCACCTTCCCCTCCATGCGGTTGATAACTTCTCTGTATGGAGGACAACAGCGGCTTTGTTTTCTGCACAAGGACTTGAAGCTGCGTGGCGGTGGGCGGTGTGCAGCCCACAGGCCTTTGTGCAAGTGCGTTTCAGGTGTAGCGAGTACGCGTCAAGGCCCGCTTCTGCTAGGTGTTGGATTCGGAAATAAGACTGCCAATCTGCAAAGACGGGGGATGGGAGCGCCTATTATCCTGGCGTGATTATAATGCAGACAGATAGACGACAGGTAGGCAGAGCGGATAAGAGTGTTAGCTTGTGAGACGCGATGAGCTGACAAGAGAGACAATCTCACACCTAAACTAGAGCAATAGGGCTGTCAGCTCTGACTCTGACACGCACTCACACACACACACACACACACACACACACACACACACACACACACACATTTAAAAGATGCTATCATGTACAGTATGGCCTGTCTGTTTATGTTTATGAGCACAGAATACATTTTCGCGTCTGAGTGCACACACACTCAGCTGTGAAAGGATCAGTGCGCGTGTGTGTCAAAGATGGAGGGAGAGGCAACCACAGAAAGACAAGGGAGGAAGTGTGAATGCATTAAGCACACTGAGTAGACATTGTTTGTGGACCTTGCAGCTCAAGGAAATCCTTGTTTCAACATTGTGTCCTGCCTGGAATGTTGCCCGTGAGGCTCTTTTTAAGTGTTCGGGTCTAAATGCCATGTCTGCTACACCCCATGAAACTGTCTTAATCTACTTTTTTCCCTTGGATTTTATTACTGCTGGAGCAAACGCGAGTGGTAGAGCAGAGCCCCGGCCTCGGGCCTCTGTTCCCATTCCACACACCCCATAAGTCAGTCACAGATAATTAAATAGGAGTTATTTACACTCCTGTTCCCTCCTCTGCCTCGTTGCTGCTTTTATCATTTCTGCCTCCTCTTTGTACAGTACTACAGGCAGCCAGACCTTGTCAGAGTCTGGCTGACACCCTTGAAGGCCTGTTGAAATATAATAACTTGAAAAGATGAAAAAAAAGAAAGAAACCAGACTCTTATGAGCTCACATCAATGTCAGGCCCTCATTAAACAATCCCACAGAGCGTCTAACACAACCCTAACCCTCCCGTAAGCCACAACACACCTCAGTACTTCCAGACATGGAGCAAAGACAAACGATCACATGAGGAACAAACGTTCAGCTGCCTAAAGTCAAGCGTTATGTATTTACTCCAGTGGGGCAAACAGCAGCTTTTCAGCACAGGGGTGAATTAGAGCTCGCCACACAACTTCGGCATCCATTACAGGCCTCAGCAGCTCTGTGAATCACTAGAGCATGGGGGCGAGTCCGCTCCTCCTCAGCTCCCATCAGCCCATCGTGGGGGATTTATTTGGTTTCTGTTGCAGCGTAGACACGGCCATGGAAATGCCTCAGGGGCCAGTGGGACGTGGGCATGGTGAGAAAGCTCTTAAACTGTAAAGCTGTCCCTTTAAAATATCCACAACAGGAAGCAGCCATCAGTCATCGACACGCCAAAACAGCTGTTACCATCCTACATCAAGGGGACACATGAAAGGAGCTGCTCCTTGTTGTTGGAGCCCTGCCTTGCTTCATTCTCTTGATGCTTTTGTCTGCTTTTTCCCGCTGCCCTCCTCTTCAACATACCCCCCCCCCCCTTATGCAACCCCACCTACGCGGTGGTGACTTCTCTCTCTCACCCTTGTTTGGATTTCTGCTCTGTAAGCAAAAGCACAATCGGAAGAATCCAGATTAATCTGCTTTGGATAAAGGACGTTTGTAATCCTCTGTTAAGATCTTAGCCTCACCTTAAAGTTTCCCTGTGAGAGAAAGAGTTTTTTGTTGCATCATCCGTTTATGTGTCTCAGCCCGGGGTGGCGACAGAGCGCTTCACACAAACCAACGGACTCTGCAGAAGACCGAACCATGCTCTGGAGCAGCGGCGTGCACGTGCATCCTGGCAGGTCGTTGAAGCATGCGCGGCAGTGCGTGGCTGACGAGTGACAACTAAGCCTAATGATGACACGTCAAACAGTGATGCTGTTGAGTGACGCTGAAGTGACTTCATCCTGCTTTTCCACTCAGCTGCAGATGCATGCAGCAGCCATCACAGGGCGAGCTGAGGCTATACAGGCTGATAAGGCCTCTGAAAAGTCAAACACTTTCCACTCAGGAGAAAGGTGATAGCTGCATTTTTATCGTGAATCGACTTGAAATTTGCAATAACAACGTATTCTGGATTAGAGACGGCGGTTTAAGGCAGATAAATCCTCATGAAACTCCTCTTTGCTATCTGGTAACAACCAGATGCATCCTTGTTTAGTTTTGTTTTTAAACTGAAGAAGTGAAACTCCTGTCTGTGTGTTTTTGAAGTTGCCTTGGAGCAAAAGAAATGGATCAAGCTGAGGTTCTGATGCTGTTTTGGCTAATTCACTACAGCAGTTTGCATTTCAAGCCCTCCAAGACAACTGGTCTTCTTTTATGAAAACACATATTTTCATCCAGGAACATTAAACCTAACAGGATGCATCCGATCGCTCCAGCCCCTGTGGGATGTGTTGTGATGTTTTCTTACTGCTTTATGTTCCGTTTGCATGTGGATTATGGAGGTCAGTGGCACACATTTCCAGCCTGAGTGCGAGGGTGAGGCCAGGAGGACAATCACGCCTCCTTCTCCTCCCTCATCTGCTTGTGAATGCGGGTACTCACGATTGGATGGCGGCGGGCTGCTTTGAAGTCCCTCCCCTCACATCTTCAGTCTGTGGAGGCAGTGAGAGCGCGTGAGGCTGCAGCAGAAGGAGGAAGAGCAGCGCGCAGGACTGTGGCACACTAACCTCTGCCGTCTGCCTTTTACGTGATCAGCGGCTACTTCTGGTGTTTTCTGACCTTTCTCTGCTCTGGATGAAGGAATAATTACTAAACAATAAGCGGGTACTCCTCACGGATGACCTTTTGGCTCTTTGTTCTTCTTTAAGGCATCTTGCCTCCGACAGGAGGACGCGCTTTGCGCACTGCCATTTTGGATTACCGCACTCTCTTTTATCGAGTTTGTCATCATGAAGTGGGCTGGTAAATAAAACTAAATCCAGTGACAGCTCTTTCCACGCCCTCGGTTCTGTTCGCGTCCAGATCCAGATGAGAGATCTCCCCGGCGGACCTGAAGCGCTTTTACGCAGCCAGTCCCCGGAGCTCAGCGGCGATCCACAGCGAAGAGGAGCCGGGAGCGCGTCCGCCTCCACACCCACGTCCTCTCCTTCTCCATCCGACCCATCGCGACAGGCCAGAAGACTCCCCATCCGGATCGTGAAGATGCTGACGGCTCACAGCGGCCACTTGCTTCACCCGGAGTATCTCCAGCCCCTCACGTCCGCGCCTGTCAGCATCGAAGTAAGTTTTATTCTTAACTAAATCAGATAGAAAATTTTAACTGAACGTTCCTGGAGGCATTTTCATTATTTAATTTCAAATAAGTAGTTTCTGCAAATGTTTTTATTATTTATTTATTTATTTATTTATTTATTTATTCATTCATTCATTCATTCATTCATTCAAAAATAAAAACTCCTGGAAAATTTTACGCACAAGTCCGTGGGCGTGTTAAAAAAATAAAAAATAAACGAGCGACATAAAAATAACTAACAGAGTTGACTCAAGTAGGAGGACTCAATAAAAAAATATTCATCATTATTTTAGTTCATGTGGATGTGTTTGATGAGTCAGCATTAGTGGTTATTAGTCCAAATTAAAAGCCAGTAAAGTTATTAATTTTACTCTTATTGTTTTTCTCAGCTGGATGCCAAGAAAAGCCCTTTGGCTCTGCTGGCCCAGACTTGCTCTCAGATTGGCAAACCCGACCCTCCCTCCTCCTCCAAGCAGGCCTCCCTGTCCTCCAGTAGTCAAGGAGATAAGGAGTCCTCCAGTCGCTCATCCAAGCCTGGAGAGCAACACCAGGCCCTGGATGATAAATCCAGCTTCAAGCCTTACTCCAAGTCATCGGGGGATGGTCGTAAGGAAGTCCTTACCAAAGGGTCGGCAGATAAAGCAGCTTTCAGGGTGCCAAATGGAAACTCCACTGGAGGAAACTCCTCATGTCCATCGTTTTCATCCCATTCCCGGTCTCCAAGCTCCAGCTCTCCTCCCCTGCACACTCAGAGCCAGCTCAACAGACAAAGCCATTCCCCCTCCACTCAGCCTCCGTCACACTCCCAGACTCCGCACACGGACACCAAAGCTGGAGGCTCAGAACAGGCCGGCTCAGACAGCAGCAGCAGCAGCTCTGGTAAGAAAGACGCTGATGTGGTGAGGTCAGGGATGGACGGGGCTCAGTTAGCGAACTCCAGCCAGGTACGAGCCACCGCTAACTCCAGTAATGCCAGTTCAGCCAGCAGCCCGAGACCTGACAGCAAGAGCGACCCTCAGGCCTCTTCACAGTCTGGCCTGAGCTCTGGACATATTGCACCGGTCTCACCTTTCAAACCAGGACATTCTGTCTTCCCCCTGTCCCCTGCTACCATGGGCTATCATGGCTCCATTGTGGGGGCCTACGCTGGCTATCCCTCCCAGTTTGTTCCCGGTTTGGATCCTACCAAGTCCAGTCTGGGCCTAGGACTGCCAGGAAAGCACCCCAGCTCAAGCCCGCTGACTGGAGCATCACCTCCATCTCTGATGCAGGGTTTATGTCGGGACCCTTATTGCCTTAGTTACCCAAACGCCCCCCATCTGGGAGGTAGTAACTGCTCCACATGTGTTCATGATCCCTCAAGCCTTAAGACTGGTTTCCCTCTCATTTACCCCTCACACCACCTCCACACTTTGCACTCTGGATCCTTGTCGTCCAGCTCCACTCCCTCTTTGTCCCACCCCCTCTATACCTATGGCTTCATGGTCCCTAACGAGCCGCTGCCCCACGCCTGTAACTGGGTGTCTGTCAGCGGTCCCTGCGACAAGCGTTTTGCTACATCTGAGGAGCTACTATCCCACTTACGTACCCACACCTCCCTGCCTGGGATGGTGGACAGTAAGCTGCTCTCAGCCTATCCTTCATCCGTTTCATCAACAGCCTCGTGCCATCTTCATTTGCCCCCACCCAGCAGCCCGGGTGCCCTGCCCAGCTCGTTTTCCCTCCGAGGCTCCCCAGGACTGAGCCTGGCTCGCTACCATCCCTACAGTAAGTCCCACTTGCCCGGAGCCCCGGGACTCCCGATGCCAGCCCTCCCCTCCTCCTCGGCGTATTACTCCCCCTACGCCCTCTACAGCCAGAGACTCAGCTCGGCCTCAGCCCTTGGATATCAGTGACATCTCCAGACCATCTCAGCCTGGATTTTGAGCAGCCCTGAGGATGGATTAAGGACACTGAGGTCATCATCAGTGCGGGGCATCTTGCCTGTTGCCCCTCCCACCAGAAACCCCACCTGTTCGCCTCAGGATTCTGATCGGTGCTCCTATGTATCGTGGTTCGACAGAAGCCCAACAGCCATTAGAGGTGGCAGGAAGCCGGACAACATGGAAAACGGATGGTCGCGGAAGTCTTTTTTCCCCTTTTTGGTTTGTTATTCTTTTTAGGTTTCCAAAAATAAAATTCTATATTTATTTTTCGCTCAAGCTCTTGGAATCAACCCTGAGGAAAGTTTTAAGCTGTCCAAATAAACTGTTTTAAGTGTTTTGATTTAAATACTCCACCATTATGCCTGTCGTATCATCCTAAAATGAAAGGGTCGCGCCGCGATGTAGATGGACGGTGAGAGCTTTTGAAAATCTCTTTTCCTTTTTGCTGTTTTTAAATTCTAATCTTTGTCTGCGTACTCAGACTCTGGAGAATTTGCATGTTCTTGATAATTATCTTCCACAATGTTATTATTTCTATTTGTAAATATGCAAAGATGTAATATTTTTTCAAACTTACAAGGTGTCAGCAAGTTTGGGTCACCTATGAAAACGGGGCAGAGATTTAACACAAAAAAAAAGAGACGAAGTAAACAGTGATGGCTGTGCTATCTGACCAACAGGAAAAGGTCTTATTTTGTTAAATAAATGATCCATGATTGCATTTTTACGTGTTTTTTTCCTTCTTTGAATGCGAGACTTAACTCTGTGAAGGCGCCCTGCTGCACGCCTCTGAGAACACCGTAAATCTTTCCAGACTGCAGCGCTGCACTTATCCACCACCATCTATCATCGTGGCTCTTACAGCTGCGCCGGATGAGACTGCGTGTAATATTTCATGGCTCGTATCACCTGACAGGGTTGTCCCAAAGAGGGCAACCTGGGTCAGGTCAGTCCTGTTAGCTGGTCTCAGAGGACGCCCAGTCCTCCTCCTTCCATCACCCAGACAGCTCCTGTTGTTGCCAGTGCAGCTTTTTAATTGCTGATTCTGGTTTGTGAGGGTGGGAAACGGCCTCCTCAGCAAAGTGTGTGAGGAGAGGCTGCTGGGTCACCGGGACTTCGATAATGACCCGAGGGAGGTGTCGACCCAGGATCTCCTCATGCTCTGATGGATTGGCCTGTAACACAAAGGACATGGCTGACAATGGGAGGTGGTTAATAAAAAAATATTCATCAAAGCGCCGACACATCCCCTGAGGAGAGCCGCTCCTCGTTCGGGGATGGTGTGAGTAGGAGGTTGTTCTAAAGCGTCAGTCGTTTGAGTGTTTGGACACAGATAACGTGTCCAGGTCTCTGAGGCGGCCACTGACCCGGACTCCCAGACTTCTCTTTTCTTGCGGTTCATTAGCACTCCAGACAGGGAAGAGGCAAGCACAGGTGCCACTTGACAGGACCATTAACTGAATGGATGACCCGCACAAACCACGCCAGCAAGGTCACAGCGCCCTGATCACAGCTCTGGGTGGCTCTGCATGCTCTCACATGAAACCGAGGACTTCTTCAGAACTGGACTTTGTTCCTGGAGTTCATGAAGTGGTCCAGATTTAACAGGATGTAGATAATCAGCTGTTAGTGCTGCACTGGTCACATGCTTTCACTAAAACTCACATTTTTATAGTTTACAGAGCAGAGCCACTGGGAATATGCAGGGTCTTCCCGCCCCCTATGGGTGAACCAGTGAAGTGCAGGTGAAACAGGGCAGGCCTTTCTTCTGGGTCTGTGGGGTTATCTCAGCTCAGATACGTAAAATGTGTGTGTTGAGGTTTCACAAGCTGTAGATGGAGAGCTGGAGTGTGAGGACGAGTCAGAGCAGAGGTCGTTCAGAGGGGAGAGCCTTCAATCTTCTCCGGGAGGGGAATTAATCCCACTGCTGCCAGTTTGCACTCGTTCATCAAATGCCTCACTACTCATCAATCACCCCGCCACCCCCACAGCTGAGTCAACACCCACACACTCCATTATGTGTGTATGTGTGTGTGTGTGTGTGTGTGTACGCACATACATTTTTCTCTGGCTTTTGACTTTTTTCAGTTCACTAGACACATTTTTGGATATTTCAGTGTTAGACCCTTTAACTCTAAGGCACTGTGTGTGTGTGTGTGTGTGTGTGTGTGTGTGTGTGTGTGTGTGTGTGTGTGTGTGTGTGCGTGCGTGCGTGCTCGTGCGCGCGTGCGTGTGTGTGTGTGTGTGTGAGTGTGTGTGTGTGTGTATGTGTGTGTGTGTGTGTGTGCGTGCGTGCGTGTGTGTGCGTGCGTGCGTGTGTGTGTGTGCGTGCGTGCGTGTGTGTGTGTGCGTGCGTGCGTGTGTGTGTGTGCGTGCGTGCGTGTGTGCGGTGCGTGCGTGCGTGCGTGTGTGTGTGTGTGTGTGTGTGTGTGTGTGTGTGTGTGTGTGTGTGTGTGTGTGTGTGTGTGTGTGTGTGTGTGTGTGTGTGTGTGTGTGTGTGTTTGTGTGTGTGCGCGCGACACAACTAAAGAAGGGCGGGTAAGAGGGAATGTTAAATGATGGGATGGATGGGATAAGTGCTTCTGTTTGGTAATAGAAAACTCTAGCAGGAACAAAACCTCTCCTAATAAAGAACGTTATTAATGTTATGTTCCTCCGTGGGAGTCCGTCTGCTGTTGAATAAAAATATGTAGAGCTGTTATTAAACCTTTTAAAAATCAGAATACACAAGTCTAAAGTAGTCAGGTTATTTGAAAACGTTCATGTTTTTGTTTTTAGTACAATTATTATGCATTAAAGTACAAAAACATTCCTTTTTTCCCCTTTAATCAGCAGGTCAGCCACTTGGTAGAGCTCATATGTTAAAGTTGTGCACTGAAGAAAACCTACAAAACCTTAAATTACAACGTTATTCCTCCCAAGTGAATCTACCTGCGATGAACAAAGAGCAGCATTATTATTGTTATAAAGAACAAACGTGGTTGGCGTGTGCCGTACCGATGCGTGTATTAACACAACTGACTGGTGACACAGTGAGGACAGAGGTAGTCAGAGTGGTGCAGCAGTGATGCTGATGGAGGGACTTTCTCCTCCTCCGTGCGTCAGAGCAGAGCCACTGTGAGGTCCAGAGCAGCGGCTGACAGACTCTGTGATTAATGACGACAGGGTGTGGAGCTGCTCTCCAATTAGACGCCAGCTCTACCCTGCTCATCGTCGCTGATGACAGATTGGACAGAGAGAGAGGAAGGCTACTCAGTCTTTTCCTCTCTCTGTGTCTTCTGAACAAAACATTAACCTCAGCTCCATGACTACCACCTCTGTGTTTAACATCAGGACACAATACAGAGCCCTCGGCATCCAACAGTGACCGCAGTGTTAAAGCAAGCCAGATGGTGTGAACACATCCCTCATCAGGGCCTGTCACACAGTCTCTGCTTTATTTCTCCACAGAAACCCTCTGACTGACTCTTCTAAATGCACGTTTCAACTCCGCCCTCAGTCACGTCTCTCAGGCGAGCAGAAATACTCTCTTTGAAAAAGAAAATTTCACAGCAGCACACAGAGCTCCAGGTTGAATGCTGGTTTGAGGCACGCTCCCCCCACACTTCCAGTTCCAGGAGCTCTACTGGATCAGAGGAAATAATTGACATTTAAACCGGACAATGCACAGGGCTCCAGGGGCGGAGTAAACGTTTCTCTAAACCTGTGGGAGCAGAATTATGCTATATTAGTTGTGTTGGTTGTTTTTAATTATGTGTTTAAAAGGTTTAAACGCGCAATCTGCTACTGTGTGCTCAACAATGTGTGTGTGTGGGTGAGATTTCATGAAAATCCAATTGAAGGACCAAAGGGATGTCATTAGTGTTTGTGATGCTGAGCGTTCAGTTCTCATGCAGCCGCAGCCCATCAGCATCAAGACTCCTCCTGCATCAGCAGCAGCAGAAATCGGCTCTGAAGGACAAACTTAATGAGCGCCTGTCTGGGGAATCCTGCCGCTGATCATCATCACAGACTCAAAGGTTCAGGTTCCTGGAGGAGGCGCTGAACCTCCACATGCCAACGGGTGCAAAAAGGTCGGATGCTCTTCTAAAGTCTCAAAGGAAATGCGCTCAGAAAAAAGAAAATGGATTATTGGTTTAATTTCGTTTGCTACTGTTTTAAATTAAAAACCAGCAGACGGATCTGAATAAAACCCTCTGAAAGAACGGCATCTATCACAAACCCACTGACTGACACAGCGCTGTCCGGTTCAAAGACAATAAGTGAAATGTTTGGTGCCTTAGAGGAATTCACATAACATGCTTTGAGTGCGAACGGATCGTGCACTAATTTGTGAATCGTTTGAAATTGTGCATAAAGATTTTACAACAAAGCTATAATTATAGTATTTTAATGCAAATAATCTCAGCTTAAAACTCAGACATGAACAGTAAATCATATTCCTTCAAGGAACCTTTGGTTATTCACGTGCTTTTTATTAAAGAGCAAGTCACCCCCTAACTGAGTCTTAACCCTCTCACTTCCTGTTTCAAAAACGTGGTACCTCTTAGCCAATAGTGATGGCAGATTTAAATTCAAATGCAGAGTTTTTCCCTGAAGACGGCACAGCACTGACAGTTTTAGGCTGATTTTTAAATTTTAACTCAATTGCACTAAAGTTATTGAGTACACACGTCTACAGCACAATTAGACACTCATTTATATACTTCATCAGCCAAAGAAACTGAGGGTGACTTGCTCTTTAATGAACCTGCATAGAAGAAGGTTGACAGAGAAAAAAAATCACAAAACCAAGAAAAATTCCACTTTTGAAAATGTAAGTCCAGCTGGATTCTGCCTGCCGGGCTCGGAGAACGTGTCAAAACATTCACGATGTCAGGAAGAGGATCAGGCTGTCACGTTGTGGAGGGTGGAGATGGCGGACCAAGTGTGGTGGAGGGTTCAGGAGGCAAAGATGCAGGCTCGGATAAAGTAAAAAAGATTTTAATTACAGAACGGGAACGGCAGGAACAAACACAACGATGACTTGAAACAACACGACAAACAACAATGATCTGACAAAGACGGGCACAAGGAGGGAGGTATAAATACACAGGGAAATGAGGAACACATGGGCAGGTTAACGAGGGACAGGTGAGAACAATATGGATCAATCAGGGCAGGAGAGAGACACAGTCAGGAAGGCAGGGGCAGATCGTGACACAGGCGATGCTTCTGGTGCACATATCAGTTACCGTTCTCACGGCGGGATCTCCTGTGGTCATAAGGTCTTCACACTCAGAGGCAGCCATCACTATTAAGTCTGCTCCGTGGTGTTTCTGCAGGTTTACTACGTGACTAGGACGGCTGTTTAACAGGGTTTCTCAGTCGTACACAACTAAGGTGAATTATGTTGATTAATCCTCTTAACTTGACTGTAGGATTTGATGTTTACATCACTGGATTTTACACAGATATGAAAAAATAATATCTGATTGACATTTTTATTGCATTCAGAAAATAATGAATTAAGTAGTAAAACAAAGATACATAACAAAGTATTTGTTTGTGCTTCTAATTATTAAATTGTTAGAAAAATAATCTTTTTTCAGTTTTTGGTTTAATATCTTTTATGTGGAAACTTGAGCCTTCTGAGAATTTAATAAAACGTGTAAACAAAGCAGCTTAACCATTTCTCAGTCTCTCAACTGCTTGATTTAGACTCCAGGGTCTCTGTCCACT